ACGGGTTTTGGGCCGAGGGCGACACCGTACTTCCGGTATCCGCTATTTCACACGAGGTGCAAGCAGAATATCATAGTCTATTGCCCTAATCAATATAGTCAACTCTAAAATACCACATATATGCATTGGCATGATAATATTATTGTGACAAGTGGGGTATTCACCTGGTGTTTCCAGAAGATAGACGTAGATGCTGCCAAAATCGACCGAAGGCCACTTTCGAGGGTCGTAATTCCATACATTGTAAGGGCAATCCGACAACCCACACAGCTCTAGTTTACGCTGGTAACGACCTAGAGCACACCCCTCAAGTCCAGAGATGTAATCCGAAGACATGCAGCGATTTCTTCGGTCGTTAATTCAGAAAAAAAACCTAGTGCGCTCTGCCTGGATACGTTAGCTAGCTGTTTATATTAGCACCTCCAGGATTTTTGCACCTCCAGAAAAATGGCATATTTATATATATATATATGGCGCGCGTTGCATTGTGGGTAGCTCGTGACGTCACTGTGTGTGAAAGAATGGCATAAAATATTATTAATATGTCGGGTAGTAATAGATGTATTTATTCCTTCTCAGAGTGTACCAGAATGCGTAGTTTATATGTTAGTATTTCAAAAAATCTCATGGGGGAGAATCCCCCCAGACCCCCTGCTGGGGTTGGGTTTTCAGAATGTGTGGCCTTTTCATAATACAGTTCAGCTTTGATTCCATCATCTCATTAAACCTTTTTTAAAAGCATACTTTAGTTCTGTGAAGGGATATATGCACTGTACTTCACTTTAATTAATATTGTATGCTGAAAAGCGTATATTACAGCACGATTTTTTGTTGAATAGATTTGAGTGGTTCAAAATTCGGGTTGCGATTTATTGACAAAGGAAAAAGTGGGTCCCGAGGCCTGACCAGTTGAGAACCACTGCGTTCATTCACTTCTTAGCTCATGTTAATAGGTGCTTATTTCCTAAAGATGGTGAGCCTTTTTTTAATTTGTCTTGAGATCTTATCATGTCTTTGTTTCATATTGATGTCTTGCTCTTTAACTATATGGGAATATAAAATAAACCTTTGTTGAAATCACAGAACATTTCCGGAACCATCTCCTTATACTGAATGTACCAGGCTGCAATAAACGTGATTAAAACGACTATCACTTAACAGATCATCTGTGAAGACATGGGTGCAGTGTCCTGTGTCCATCTGCAACGATTTCTGCCTGCCTGAGTATAGTTTTTTGTAATATAAAGAAAAAAAGTCCATGAATGTGTAAAAAGCTCCATACATGTGTTGCAGCTGTTCAGAAGAAAGATGGCCCTTGGTTGAGATTTTTCGTTTTTAAAGTGACAAAGGTCATGCTAGTTGCCATGACAGCCACAGCTAATTGCTCTTACACAAGTCAGTCTGAGAGTGGATGGCCAAGGCTGAGGATGCAGACAGGAAAGACAACAAAAGAAGTTTGGCGGCACTAGATGCACCCAGAAAATGTTTTTTAGACCGTATTTGTAGTTGGTTTTGTTCAGCTTGTATTGAATGTTTTCATGTCGATGCACAGCCTGTTTTTACAGTTTTACACGATTGAGATATCAGGTTGGGTATTGTGTACATTTGTGATATGACTCGAGATACTTTTATACATAACTGTATACCATTCCTATGTTTAATTTTAAAGAGCTAATTACTGGACATTTAAATCTCTCTCAGATAGATGATAGACCTGCTATTCTCTTATTGGGGAGAACCCCGGCTGTTGCTAATGAAGAACAGCTTGAGCAGAGCCTTCAATCTGTGAGGCTGACAACCAAGCCAAAGATCCTTATAGTTGCCAGCTCGGCTGTTGTGTCCTGTCTGTGAGGTAAGTCAGTAAATCTGTCAGCATTGCTAAGAAAAGCAGAGGGGTCTGTTCTGCTAAATCAGGCAGACAAAAAGCTGTGTAGCCGCAGCTATTAATCAGAGAACAGAATGTGAGAAACTGCCTCGATAAACACACACATAAGTAATCACTAGTGCATATTCATACATACTGTATGCACAGATGCAGTCAAGGACACACACACCCACCTTCACTTTGCTGTTCTTAAGCAAACAGCCTTAGGCTCAGTGAATGAGCATGTCAGCAGTGTGGGCTGACATACTGTCACACAAAGACTGTGTATGGAGACAGATGCCTCCTCAGCCTCCTCCTGTCCATTTACCTAACATACAAACACTGCCTGATATATCCTCGTTTGTCCTTCGTGATTTGGATAAAGATACTTCAAAATTGAGGAAAGACGGAGAATCTTTTTCTCTGTCAACGTTGGAAGTGAAAGAGGAAACTAGGTTAAAGTAAAAAAGGAACTTCAAAGGCATGAATATGTAGGGTGTGTACAGGAGTGACTTGTGAAGGGAGATACATGCAATCTGCACCCAGATAGACAGGTATGTCTGTGATTGAGTGTTATGGGTACCAGAGGAAGAGGAGACAGGCGCAGTGCCAGGGTTCTCCCCACAGCCATGAGACACTCTAATTAAGGAGCACAGTGGGGAGAGGGGGCAAGAACAACAGCTCTGCATTGTCACATAATGGTTTTCTTATCATCTCTAGTACAGGAAACATCGCACATCTCTGCTCTGATGTGTGTGCACGTCTGTGTGTTTCTTAGGAGCCTTTTTATGAGCCGTCTACTCACACCTAGAAACCAAAAATCACCAAAGCCATGGTGCTAATTTCAGCGCCTGAGAGGGAGGATATTCAAGTCCTACTGCCACAACAGAGCAGAGCCACGTTTGATGGAAATGAATGTAAGCAGTTACAGATGTATCAGTCTTAATCCATACCCTGAGAGCTTGTTTTCACTTTATCAATCCATTTCGTAGTGGAGGCTTGTCACTGACCATTTGCATTGATGCAAGTATAATCCGCCCACATCATTGCTCTGCATAATCATTGATACATATTTATATCTCTGGTAACATTTCTGTAATTCCTTGTCCCTAATACCAGATGTCCAGATGGACAATGACAGGAACGGGAAATACCTGCAGAGAAGGGCAAAGAGTCATTCAATTAAAGTATACATTTTTGCGAAAGATAGCCCAATTTAAAAGTGCGGACACAATACTGATACCATGCCATTTGATTTTAAGTCATATAATTTGCATTTGAACAATAATGCCTAAAGAAATACAGTCAGATGGTATGATGTGTTCTTCTGGAACCCATCTTAAGCTTTCTATCTTATATTCAAATGTAGGTTACATTTCCTACAGTGTTTCTCTGTATATTTGGTTCAGTGCTCCATTTTTCTTTTGATGTCACAATCTGCTCCACTATTTAGAAAGCTCAAACTGTCACTGTAAGCCAGTCTCATGTTAAAGGGATACCACACATAGTCATAGAATATATACATTATAATAGACAACAACAAAACTACAGAATGCAGTAACAGGAATGTGTTTTTTCACATAAAACGAAGGAAAGAAAAAAGGAAAATGATTAGCAGATAAAAAAAACCCATACAGTTAATGGAAACCTGATAAGAGGACAAGAGATGAAAAGTGATGCTGATGACTGATGAATTGTGGGAGAAAAGGCGAGGGGGGGGTGGTACATTTGACCAGATGGGTTCTGGTCTGCTCTGTGAGGGCAGCAGATGCCCTGAGATCCGAGGCCACAGGAACGCCCCCAGCCGCTCAACACCAGAGTCCAGTTACTGTAAGCCTGTTACATGTGCACTCTTCCTGATACTGAAATATGGGTTAAAGCCGTTTCCTCATCACATAACTCCATGCTCCTGCCACTAAGATGATCAGCTGGAAATGTTTCAGATGCAGTTGTAACTCAGTTTAATGCATGCCCAAAAAAAAAAATCATAGATTGTGTGTCCAGTTTTCCTGCATGAAGAGATTTATATAAAGCTCCTCTGATTACAACGTTTTCAGGTGTTTTTGTGCTAGTGATGGGTAGGGCACTTGTTACAAATGTACCACTTAAATCAACAATAGATGAGCATTTAATTATTTTATCATCACCATGATTTCTTAAATTGAATGTGTGTGTCTGTGCATGTAACTACCACAACTCAGCTTTAACCATTAACCACCTGACTGAAATGAGGAGCGGATTAGTTCAATGTGGTCAAACAAAAGGTGATAGCGGTTCTCTCCGTCATAGAAACACTGTGAATACGTTGCTGCTAAAACTGCCCCGAGCCCCATAGAAACACATGACTCATCGTCTATAGCAGATGCTCGGCTATCTGACTGACTTTGGGCTATGAGGTTTGGGAGGTGCTGCAGGGCTGAGGGTTTGTGATGATGATACAGCTGCATACGAAGCAGACGCCACATAACATTTCTTTCTAAAAGTAGAGCATCACCCTCTAGTGTATCCACAGGCAAAAGGCAGGAATTCAGAGGTTAATTTCACAAATGTTTTGAGATTTAAAGACAGTTCTGGACTCCATATACTCTTGTTTGACACTAGTACATTGACTGATGTATAAAAGGCACAAAATGTGTTATTATGGTATTAGAGGTGCTATAGGATAAGACTGGGGATATTCTAAAAGTGTCTTAAAATAATGCCAAAATACCCTGCCAAAAGCAACAAGGCGTAAGTTTACCCATCAATACTTTATGACTTTCCTGGCCTGACATGTTTTAAACTGTACCAAAAATAGGAGAAATATGTTTTTTGTAAACTGCTAAATTGTGTCCTCAAACAGCTAGTAAATAGTGCATTTGTTGGGGGTTATGTTAAGCCACGGCATACGTGAATATCATATCAGCATTTAAACATAAAAAACGTTGATGATACCAAATACATTATCATCTTATTTCTCTAGCAAGCTTTAACTATCAGTTTGCTAGGTAAGTAATTGTACCACCTGATCTGTGTCCAATGTCCAGACCTGTGATCCAGGTTTCTAAAGATATTAGGAATAACAAAATCTGATGATTGGTACAACCCCTTTCACTTAACTGTAATATTTGTTTTGTTGGATCACATACTGTACAGGTTGTGGTTATAGGGTTTATTTGCATAGACAGTTGATAACTCTTTGGAAAAGCCACTAACCTTCATTTCTCAAGATAATAGTTCCATGTATCGACTTCATAGAGTAAAAACTTAAGCGGCATTAATCTCCATCGCTCAGAGAGTCCTGCACAAGCCTTGAACTTAAAATCAGAGACTTTGTAACAATACAAAGAGTCAAGTTAATTTGAAGGATGTCTTCTCATTGTCTTTACTCATCAATCATCCGGTGTGACTCCTTTAAGACGAAGCTCCTCTTGAACTCTGGACAAATAATCTGGATCTGGATATCCAAAACTGGAATGGAAAAAGACAAGCTGCAGTAAGTAAATCTCAGGATAAAGACTGTACCTTAAGCTTACTGAACCTGGATTTGTAATGTATCCATTGAAATGTATCTTGAAAAGGCTTTGCAACATAGGGTTATACAACTTATCCCACCAAATGTCAAATTTGCTAGACATGTTAACTTTGTTGCTTTACTTTGTTGATCTCTCCACTTAAATATATAGAGCCATCTTCAGATCAGCTTTTTTAATGTATTAAATACTTGTGTCTATAACCAATTCCTCACCTTTCCCAGCAGGCTAATCTGTCTATGAGTTTGAATAAAAATATAAATACAAAATATATATTGTATAGTTTTCTTCGGGCCGAACAGGGATGAAAATGGCTTCTGAATCTGAAAGGTAGCTTAAGCAGTCCAAAAGTAATAAGTCAACTATTTCCCTGTTGGATTTAATAGAGTAGAAGTCAAGTAAAAGCACCTCTAATTTATATTAAATACACTTTTTTTCTCCATGTGCCAACAAGACAGATTTCTGTACACTTACGGTTGACAACAATAGATGACTTTACTGTAATGATGTGCATACCTTTGTGGACCACCATCTATGTTGGTCTTATGATGAATGTCGTTCCAGGTGATGACGTTGTTGAGGCCTGTGGTGACGGATCGACCAACGGTGAAGACGAGTCTCCTGTCAAAGGCCTTCCTCAGCAACTTCAGGACTTTCTCCCCTTCCTCGCTGTCTGGCAGGAAGGCCGTACGAGACGTGCTGCCGTACCTCTTCCCGGGGTTTGGATGTTCAGGCTGTAATAAGGTAAAAAAGAGCAAGCATATATATTACAAAGATGAATGACAACTGTGTCTAACTTGTGATTACACCGAAACCTGAATATTATTTTTCTTTTTTTTGGTGAATAATGTTTGGGTGACACCTTGTGAAACAGCTATTTAACTGGGAAGGACTGTATTTTTAAAATAACATTTTATAGATAAAGTATTCCTGGTTCCTAGTATGAGTGTAATACTGCAATCACTGCAAGGTCACCTGGTATTTTATGTTTAGCAACTTTCAGCTCCAAAATCTATATTTTTACTTCAGCCAACTAAAACATTGTTAAAATAAAGTTTTTGCATAAATTACCATTTGATATTACATTTAAAAGGAATACAGAAAAGCAGACAAAACTATATTAATAACATTTTAGAAGTCTCTTTAATACTTATACATGTGTTATTTTTGTTTCTCTTTTATTGTATCTTCATGGAACTAAATTACCTTTTTATTATCGTTAGACTTTTGTTATAATTACAAAATTGTTTGTTAAACAATAAGAAAAAAATAGAAAACAGGCATGCTGTGTACTTGTGATCAATAACAAACAACAGCGCCATTTAGTGGACATGAAAAATCACAAACAGCTGATGAAGTCAAACAAACAAGAGCTCTGTTGTGTTGATATGTAGCCTCCTCTGGTAGCTTGTAGCTTAGTGTCAGTCTTACCCATGGTCTTACCCCTTGTATCCCCGCTGGGAAAGTGTACTGTATGACGATAGATCCGCAGTGCTCGAAGCCGGGCAGGCGCTGCCAGCTGCGCATGTCCGTCATGCTACCCTCCGGCTGGGTCCCCGTGTACTCTCCGTAGTAGGTATTGCATATCGGACAAGCAGGCTTCAATTTAAAAACCGAGTCGATACAAGCAGAGCAAAAAGAGTGAGAGCACTTTAACGTTTTCCTCTCACGAACTGTGTCCAAGCAAATCGCACAGTCCTCCATACTTTTAGGGACAACCGGAGTGGTTGTTTAGTGTGGTTGCCATTATTTTCCGGTGTGACGAGAGTGTTGTCTTTCCTTATAGGGATATGTGTGTCGGAAATAATGTGACGTCAAGCTAAGGAAAGTACCAATTCATACATAAGAAAGTCTGAAGGAAGAAGCAGATTTTTTTCGGCTGCGTAGTTTCAAATTCTAGCACTCGAGCTGGTTTCTCCAAAATTACCTACCCCACCTTTCAGGACAATCAATAAATTAAATAACACAGCGCTAATGTTATTTTCAACAACTGTTTATTCTAACTTCCTCTGATTAGAAAACGATGATAAAAGTATTCAAATACTAATCAGGTGACACGTTTTTGTTACTGATGTGTCATCATGGATTGATTTTCTAAAAAAACTGTTACTACCCTGGCCAAATAAGACACACCTATTTGTATTGGATTGTTGGGCTTTTTTAATTTACTCTAAATTAAAGCACAATACTCCATTTTAAGTCTGTTTAAATTGTATTTCTGAATTGTAATTATTGATGAATGAATTTGTCTATCAAGTTAATGATTCAGCTGCTAAAGGTGGCACTTATTTAATTACTGTTTATACCACTGGGTAATTTAATTTATAACGAATACATCATTGTTTATTTCTTAATATCTATATGATCATTAGAAGTGTGAGTGAATTCCATTGCAAGGAGAATTATAATGTAATGTGAAAATACGCTACAAGTATTTTAATCAAAATTGTACTGAAGTAATGTACTTTGGTAAATGTACTTAGGAGTTCAAATCAATTCTTGACTATAGGGGACAACCCAAACTCTTTCCAAATGGACACAAGTTTGATATGTGGTTGCTCGTGATGCACCTGCTTTATTTAGGTCCTACATTGAATATCCAACACAAACCCAAACATAACTTTTTATTCAAGTATTAAAATGTAAAGCACATTTTCTGAATATCAACAAAGTACGAATCAACACAATTATAAAAAGCAAAACTCCAACTTCTCCTCAACAATCAACTTGTAATATGTGTAATCTCTCCTACGATCAATTCTGCTGGCTCCTCCTCAGTCACGGTAATGCATAGAAATGTTTGCACAGTAGCTTTAGTGAACTACAATCCTGTGTCCCAAAAATATTTCAGTTGGTCCCATAACTTAAATACAAAGGGTCTGAAAACGGAAGAAAGGGGTCTTCTATGTATAGATCTAACAGGGCAAATGAATGACAGATGTACCACTAGCCAAGCAGGTTACTGCACTTAGCAAAGCATTTTCACACATACAGCTGTTCCAGTCTGAAGGTTTTTCAGCATTATGACGGCAAGGATGTTTTTTTTTATAGAGAAGCTTATTGAAAATACACATTAGTATACATATTTTCATGAACTGTCTTGTATTTGTACTTAAAGCCAGATAGTATAGTTACAAACATAATGCCGTTTACCTATCAATTAACACTGAAATATGCCCAAATTGCTTACTATTCAGTAGTAACATCATGCTAGATTTTTATCAAAAGTGAATGTAGGAAAGGCACAACAAAATGAGATCAATACCCCACCCTAAACCAGATACATTTTTCCTTTTTTTCTGTATCGTAGATTATCGTTTTAGAATTTGCAACAGTTCTCTGTTAAATGAGAAGATTAGCTGGCGAATCTCCCAGTTTGACAGGGAAAGAGGCATAGATAATTAAAGAGCTTTTGTGCCTTTGATTTGGTTTGACTGGTCTATATGCCCTTTCATCTTTGACATCGTCATAAATCTGGTAATTGGATGAACTCAATACCCACAATAAAGGTAATGTGCTCAACACCTGGGAGACATCTTAAAAAAACAGGAGTGAGCAATGGCAAAAACCCAGGGGAAAGTCCAAATGCACATTGAGAAAAAAAGGTGCTGCATTGAGAAAATTGAACATTCTTCCTATTTAAGTAAAGCGGAAGGGGAGAAGTAAATCGAATGCAAATGAAGAGTTCCAAGCAATTGACATCAACTTGTAGCCACCGAGCTTAGAGCCGATAGCCGCACAGACCTGTTTGCTCTGAGCACTCTTCCACGTAGAAGAAAAACTATGACTGACTTCACTGAGAAAAAAGACTCTCTTACAAAAGTGCCTGTGAGTGCTTAAGATTGCAATAACCCTTGAAAATAAATTATTTCTATTGAAGCAATGCTATTCTGCCTTATAACACAAGTACTTTCATTACAACCGATAATTAGTAACAATCAACTTAAACATTTCTGAGGAGATAAAACAAAGTATGTGTGCTTGTAGGAAAAAAGATTGTTATCCCCAGAGTAGAAATGAACATTAATATAACATCGCCTGTCTTTATAACATTAAACTTAGATGGCCTAAATAATATATAAGTACCATGATTTGCAATACGCCACGATGCTCTTAAATAAGTGCATCAGATACGGGCCCTGTTGCGAACAGTGACAGGTGGAGGATTGTGTAATACAAGAATGCACTGCACTCAAACTACTTTCCTCCAACTGTAGCACTAGGTTAAGCTGAATTATGGAGGAAAGATGAACAAACAGAGGAACAAGTAGTGGAGGGAAGTGGGCTCTGCTGCAGCATTAGACGCCTGTTTGCTGAGGGCCTCGTCTTCAGCCATCCTTTAAGGAACGGGCAGTCTCAGAGCACAACCTGGAGCTGAGTCATGTCCACCGCAAGGACACTCGGAAAGTCTTACATAGTCCTGGAAGAGTCTTTTTCCTGCTGTCAGTCGGCCGTGATGCCTTTCTCTCTGAGCTCCTCTGTCACTCGCACCAGGTAAGTGGGGTCTGGGTAGCCAAAACTGTCAGGAGAAATAAAAAAGCCATCACTTCATCTGAATGAGCTCAGGCAGCAATAGTGCCATCTAGCCAAGGACATCAACTGAAAGCATTTCCTTGTCAGGAACTTGAATTACATCTGTCAGTCACATCTGAGCCTCTTTCCCTGCTACCTGTTGGGGAGATTGTTGAGAATATTACCAAATCTAATCTCAGTGGCCATTTGCCTCCAGCTAAAAGCCCATACATACCAGCGGGGCCCGCCCCATAATGAGGTCTTGTGGTGAATGTCATTCCAGGTGATGACATTTTGCATGCCCGTAGTCATGGAGGTACCGATGGTGAAGATAAGGCGCTGTTCGAAGGCCCGGCGCAGCATGCCCAGCACACGGTTCCCCTCAGGGCTGTCAGGGAGGTAGGCCACACGGTCAGTTCCTGGGTACCGAACACCTGGGTTGGGGTGTTCTGGCTGTTGAGGAGGTGTAGAAAACAGGATCAGTTTAAATGAATAGCTTAAAAAGAAATGGTCTGTCTACTTGGATCTGGGGCTCTTTGCCTCTACAGTGATTGTTTTGCCAAGGTCATGTCTTGTACAGTATTTTTAACTGCATTTGCTACATGCTTTTGTAAGAACTATGTTTGCAAGTGTGTTCTTTTTTAAGAATCATTTGTGACAATACCTTTTTTGAATGCAGCATTTCCTTTTAATCCAAAACTATTTATCTGAATCTATTTCGTGAGAAAGGGGAACTCCACTGATTATTCACAAAACGGTCAGTTTGTAGAACTTCTCTGGGGAATTACTAATCAGCCTGTAATACAGTTTCATTTCTTCTTGGGGAAGTGCATCGTAAAGTCCAAGACTAAAAGGTGCTGATGTCATCAGGGGTTATGTTGTCCTTGATAGAGTTTGAAATATGTTGGCAATTACGAGTCAGGAGCTAAAGAAAAAATATTTTTCTATGACATCATATGAAATTGAGGATCGGGCAAATAGACAAGTTCGACCCATAACATTTATAAAATCATAGAAGATGCAATAGAGAATGCACAGTTCTTTGCATGGTGTCCTGTTATTTCACAGATCATCAAGTGGCGGTAAAGCGCCAAGATGTGCTGCAATGGGCCAGAAAAAACGTACAGATACTAAACCAGCTTCGGAAAACAATCAATTTTGATGAATCTAGTTTTCTTCTTTGTATCACAAAAGACAGGTCAATCAATTTGAGAGTGAAAGCCGGTTCAGTGGGCTGTACTACAAAGTGAGATTAGCAGGTATGCGAGGTATATTGAGTCTTAAGTCACGGTTTTTGTTACGAATGTGGTTGTCGTTTTATCCGGCTAAACTTGAGCACATTTTGCTAACATTTTATAAACCCATAGATGAATATATCAATGAGACTTAATGTCTGCATCTTCACATGGTCTACTCACTGCCTGTAGGCCAGGAGGGAAGCTGTAGATGATGCAGATACACCCGTAGCCGTCATGGCCAGGAAGCTCCAGATGAGGATCTCTCTCTACGATCATTGTACCGTTAGCAGGCTGGTTCCCAATCAACTGGCCATACACAAGCCTACAAACAGGACACGCTTTCTTCACCTTAAAGGCTTGATCCAGGCAAGAGCGACAGAATGAATGGCCACACCTCTCCAAGGTAGTCTTCTCTACTATGTCCCCCATGCATATTGAACATGTACCATTGTCCTCCGCCTCACTACGAGACGCCAAGCTGGAGTCAATGTCCTTCCTCTGGGCTGCCTCGTGGAGCATGGCACATGCCTCCTCATCTACAGGCTTCCTGAACTTCTGCTGCTGTCTCTGGGAGCGCCGAGGCTGGGGAGGTGGAGGCTGGAGCAGGCTCCCCTCCCCGTTTGGTTCCAGGAGTCCCACACAAGGCAGCAAAGCCCTCTTCCTCTTGGGTCCCCCATCCTGTTTGCTCATTTCTTTGCGGGCACAGCGGCATAAGTCAATGAAAGCTTTTCGTGTCTCGCTGGAGATGGGTCCATCCATCACCCCAGCTCCACCGTTCCTGGAGCCTTCTACAGGCTGCAGCCTCACAGCGCAGCATCCCCCCCTCTCTCCTCGCCTGACGATACCAGCGTTCATCCCCTGCTTGTGCTGGAAGTCAATGAGCCAGGGCCGCCCAGCTGCAGCCAGGTAATCCCACACTGCCTGTGAAACCAGCACCTCATCACTGCCCTGGCCAGCACGCACACTCATCTCATCAGAGGAAACTGCAAGGAGAGGCACATAAAAGTAATCAGCACATTATTATATGAACAAAAACACAACTCACTTGTTTGATCAAGCCTACATCAAGTTACAGAAGTTGCTCCCTCAGGTTAAGTGCTAACACATGATGCTATTTTCAAAGGCATTACAGGGAAATATGCTATATTTTTGCTCAGATCTGGTTACAATAGTATTTGGGTTTCTACTGACTGGGGCTTTACTTGTATGTCTATACCTGGCCTATAAGCTCGCAAAACGCAAATGTTAAGCAACATCAATTTAGTTTTTTTGTTTGTAGTGTGCATGACAGTGCAAGTGAATCTAATAGCTCTACATGGACAGCTGTTGACAGTGGATGTAGCACGAAATATACAACAGGCAGCATCACAGCATTGCTGGGGACGCATCAGCTGTTCAGAGATTCAGACTGTAAACAAAGGAAACTAAACCCGTCATACTGTACGCGGAAAACATGAAAGCCCACCGACAGCCACATGCAAAAACAAGATTGACACTTCTTTAGGTTGAGAGGTTACCTTGTGATCCCATAAATCCCTTCAATTGTGAATAAAGCGTCCTGTTGAACAGAAAAAGAGAGGAAGAAAAACTGAAGGGCTGGAACAAGCGTTATCACAGCTGCTCGGCGATATTTTGACTGAGCCATCCTCCGCAGGAGCAAAGGGAAATTCAGCGATTTCGCAACGTTAGCCTTTGATACATTTATCGTCAACAGTTAGCTAAGTGGTTTTCCCCTTTGATTTCTTCCGTACGTCACCCTCTGCCGTAGCTCGTCGCGGTCAGGGAGGTTTAGTGGATTAAACAGTGCTCCATCAGAGGAGGCCTTTATTTCTGACGTGCCGCTGCAGCTAATCCGCAAATAATTCCTTTTTGTAGTCAAGACATGATATCCCAAAGTATATCCAGTTCAAATCTCTTTAGATCCTTGTCCTGGCTCTGACAAATGCCATCCAAAGCCTGCACCTAGTCCCCAGTCTCTCCTGTGTTTGCCTTCCTCGTACGTCCTTGGGCTATGCGTATCACAGAGTATAGCATTTGTAGTTACTCTTCTTATCTGGCTTCAACCATGCTAGCTGTGTGTCAGCTTTGTCCAGGCAGATAATTTGCTCTTTCTTCTCATGTTGAGTGTGTGCCTGTGCTTTCACACCGCGTCCTCCTCTCTGTTGACTGTGCAGGAGCAAACATACCCATTAATAAGGGGACTGGGATTTACGAGAAAGTGTGACCAGGAAGTTCGTCACTGAGCTGACATGATTGGCTGGCTATGGTGGTTTGTGTTTTTCCTCCTTCATGCTGTGGCTGAATCATTTCTTTTGTCGTGATGACAAGCTTTAATCATAACGCACAATACACGCTTAGTTCACACAAGAGTCAGCCTACGCTCCATCGAGGGAATACCCACTCATTCAATTATAATGCAAATGAAGCTATCTCTCAGGGTACACCGACGTATTGACAGCAATTATGTAATTTTTGATACTTTTGACAAGATGTATTGTTTGGACATAGCTTTCTATGTGAGCACACAATAGCCTACACATTGAGCTGTTCCCAGTTTTTAGTTTACGTTTTCAGAATGTACTAGTTTTCTCTTTAAAAAAAAAAAACATCTCCACAAGTGTCCCTTGCATAAATAAAGTGCTTTCTCTCTCTCTATCTATCTCTCTATCTCTCTATCTATCTCTCTATCTATCTATCTATCTATCTATCTATCTATCTATCTATCTATCTATCTATCTATCTATCTATCTATCTATCTAGTAAAATTTAAAAGCACTCAGGTCAGATTAAAACTTAGAAGCCGGTTATTAGCACCATGGAAGTAGCAAAAGAAAAGAGAGAACATTCATTTTAGTAAGCTTTCCAAATAAAATATAGTAAAAAATACATTTTTAAAAAAAAGGATGTGATGTCCAGTATCTGCAACTGGATAGGACATATTTTCTCTGTTGAAGTAATGATTTACTTTAATGATGCTAATATTCTATTAAATCATAAAATGCTTGTAGCGACGCTGTCCACATAGCCTAAAAAGTCTACTTTTCCCAAGCTCAAGTAACATCCTTCTTTTCAGATGTGTAACAATGTGCATGTTCCAACTGATCCAAGCAGGTTTTTAAATAGTTTATTTAACCTATGAAGGAGTTCACCAACATTTTGAGATTCATGGTTTTCATCTGAATCTAAAGCTGTCGTAAAAATTATTTGGAGTAAAGTGTTTGATATACTTTATACTAGTATAAAGTACCATACTGAAAATGGAAATACTTGAATGTTCACTTAAATACAGTACCTGAGTACATTCCCTAATTATACCACCACTGAAACATGTTTATATTGAAACTATAGCCAAACAGAAGGAGAATCCAACCCAATACATATGTTACATTGTGTATTCTATTGATATTGGAGAATAAGGTGAACTTATTAATACACACAAATACCTCTCTCAGAGCCCAGCACATGTCCTCATAACACTGTTGTAGTCAGTTCATTAAAACAGATTTTTTTTTTTTGTAGATTTTGTGTCAAATGAGTTTTACATGAATGTAGGTCTTCCAGCTATGTATCACAAAATGTACTCATATGCCGGTAAAGCCTTACATGACATAGTGTACCAGGGGGTTGCTGCATTATTTATTGTATATGGAGCAGCTCTAGCATTTTCATCTAGCTGACGTCATCACTGTCTTGTCCCTTGCTATTTATAGGAAAGGTGTCATAAATTAAACCTTGTTATCAAGAGTTGGAAAGTTGTATTAAAATGATAGAAATTCTATTTTAAGGTTCTGACAAAGACAAAAAAAAGGCTGAGAGAATAGAGGGTTTTCCTTTTCTTTGCTTTCTGCTATTTTATTAAATGAAACTTGAAATTAGTAAAAAATAGTATTTTCTTGTTTTTGGCTTGTGACACTTTCCTGTTGTAACAAAGTAATTTTTCTAATTCAGATAACATTTGAATTTACAACTAATACAAGCATGTTAACAAATCCCTCTTTGACTATCTGCAAGAAATTATGTAAATGTATGAATCATCATCACAAATCTGTTATACCAAAACTTTTATTTGCAGTTATTATATCTGGAGCTATAAACGATCTTTACCACATCCGGAGTTTCAGCGGCTTGACAAATTATATAAATGGCATCATTAAAGTAAGGCTGGTGGGGAAATGTTTGTCAACTGGACCACAGTAATGTATGATATTATGTTTTCAGATCAGAAAAATGCATACAAATTAGTGACTTTTAAAAAAGACAGCAGCACAGCAAGCTATTACTAATTCCCTCTTTACTGTAAGTCGTTCTAGCTGCAGAAAGCTCTTGGAGAAATTCTGGTTACACTGATGTATTTTTTCTTAAATGATAATTAATTAATTTACATTGTAAATGAGCAAAAATAACCCAATAAAACACTATTTACTTATTTTGTAAAACATTACAGAGAAGATAATGTTGCTATAGAAATTTGAAATTGTTGCATTACTCAAATGTATTAATATTACAGATCGATTAGTTTGCTTCAAAGAGATTTATAAACCTAAAATCCATTGCTGACAATGTCTTTCAATTTGAAAGCGTATAATTTCCTCTCATCTGGCCTTAATTTCTCCTCCACTAAATGGGCTAAAATTAGGATTGAACGGTTATGCTGTGTACTCTAACTACAGCTTTTTCCGTGGCCAATAGAAACTCCCATCAGTCAACTACCTCCAGCCTCTCATCTTCAAAGTGTCTACTTCCCCAGTGTCCACGTCCCCCATAAGGCCTGACATGGTTTTGGCTCCACTTCTATCCATTTAAAAGCACATGTCTGGCACTAGGTGGAGAGTTGGAAAGAAAAAAGGATTGTTTTGTCACCATACCCATCCACCAAGCCCTTCACTATAATGTGCCAATCAAGTCTGTGTAAAACACCTATTCTGTCAAATATTTTCATCTCCATTGTCCCACACATTCGGCAGCTCCCTGGCAATGGTATTCTATCCCAGTGGCTCTCTCATTCCCTGCCTTCATGCTATTGTTCGCTTGTTTTATCGAGAGCTGCAGCCTCAGTGAAACTGCCTCTCAGACTATCCTGTCTGAGTCCAACGGCTTGAAGCTGCTCCCAAATTGACCATGTTTGCCTTTAAAGTCATCTGTCAGTTGACATGTCTTTTTCTGCTGCTTGAGTGCTTTGGCCTACTAAGACAACCACTACAAGTCAAACACCACCGCTAAGCAGGTGCATCTGACAGCCTCCACTCCTATGGGGGACTTAAACTGATAAAGCTTCACTCTGACATCATGGAGTGCTATGCTAAAAAGGCATCTGTTATTAAGCCGACTGAGAAGCAAGCTGTGAAGTGAAATGCTTTGGCTCTCAATACTGCATGTGTGCCTGCCTCTGTTCAGACATTAACAACAAGCCAAGTCCTACATCTTTTTTTTAATATCTCCCAATGCAGAAATGCACTAACTGTGCTCTGCGCATATGATCAGCAGAATCTTTTTGGGGGATGGTGTCTGTGACGTCCTGGACTCATGACACAAAATTAACCTTAGTCTTATTCGCTTTGGAGGAACTTGCAGGGGATCCAATGACGCATCATGATGAAGTTAACATTGAATGCGCAATACAGTGTAATGGCTAAGACACCATCTGTGTTTAGCTAGCTTCAATTTCACAATGCAATTCTAGCTGCCTACGGTTTGAACTTTAATATCCACAATACTTGAGGTCATGTATTTTACTTGATATTTTGATCCATGCCACATTATTCTTAAACCCCTCTCAATTAGGCAAATATTGCTACATTTGCTCAACAACATTTTTGATAGCTAGTTCAAAATTATAAAGCAAGCACCCCCCCCCCCCCCCCGTCGACCAGACGTGTAAGTAATGCTTACAAAAAGCCTAATGCCATTGGTGTAAAGTAACTAGATTTACTCAAGTACTGTACTTAAGTAACATTTTGAGTGACTTGTACTTTACTTGAGTATTTCAATTTGTTGCTATACTTTGTTCTTCTTCCCCACTACAATTCAGAGTTACATAGTGTACTTTATCTCCACTACATTTAATTAATAGCTCTAGTTACTTTGCAGATTTGGATATTAATGTGAAATATAGACAACACTTAAATAAGACTTTATTTACACCTGGAGTTACATTCACAAGCTACCCTGCAGCATACAAAGTAATTCAAACTAGCTGCACCTTTACCAACTTTGATAAACACATTAATGCATTAATAATTATAATCATACATTTGGTATATTGTTCTGAAATGGGCAAATATACATAATGAGTACTTTTAGTATATGTTGATGCTAACACTGTTGTACTTTTACTTGAGCAACATTTGCAATGCAGGACTTGTGCTTGTAACAACAGAGTATTACTACACTCTGGTACTTCTAATTTTGCTCTTTATACATCCATGCATACATTCAGATAAAAATGAACACATAATGAAATATGACCCCCGGTTTGATGATTGACAGGTCACAGAACAATGGGGGGCTTCTGGGGTTGGGTTTTCAGCTTGTGTGCCTTTTTATAATACAGTTCAACTTTGATTCCATCATCTCATTAAACCTTTTTTAAAAGCATACTTTAGTTCTGTGAATGGATATGCACTGTACTTCACCACTTTAATTAATATAATCTGCTGAAAGAGGTATATATATATTACAGCACACATTTTTGTTGAATAGATTTGAGTGGTTCAAAATTTCGGGTCGCGATTTATTGACAAAGGAAAAAGTGGGTCCCGAAGTTGAGAACCACTGAACTAGAGTACTTCTTCCTCCTCTGCCTCGGCCTGATTTTACTTGATGAGTGCATTTGGCAGTACACTTTTCAATGCAGGGACTTATTTAAAGGATCTTAATACTCCTCTTAGTCTAGACAAGGAAGGTCGAATGATTCCGGGTTGGCCCTGAAATGATCAGCTTGCACCCGTTTACACAGCTATGAGGATAATTTGTGTTAGACTGTAGTAGTCACCTTCTGGTGGTGGCACTGGCAGTGGAGCTCTCCCGTTCTAGAACTGTCTCAAACGGCTTCGGTCTGAAGCATGGTCTGAAGCCCCCGTGCAACGCGCCCGTGTCCACCAGCAGTAAGCAAAATCACGCGAGACTCAAACTGCGGTTTGAACGTTAGAGTTAACTGTTTCGGTTTCATTTATCATTTTACGTGGCTCCACTAGCTAGGTTACATTATAATATATACTGCTGTACGACGAGGAAGATAC